ATATACACACACACATATATATATATATATATATATATGATGTTATGACATGATCACCATGTATAACATTTAAATCTGAATTAGTAGTGTCTGTTGACCACTTATTTATAAGTTGGTAATATCCTGTTGCAGACAATGTGTTTTTGGTACCATTCAATAGCAGACAGCGCCACGTTGGTAAATATGGAAGCATTAGAAATGTTCCAAGTTTCATTAATTATCTAGGAAGCAACTGAAGTAAATTAAACTTTAAATTAGCAAAGGTACAGGAGGAGTGAAATGTCCTGCCAGTGACAGTGAACTGCTCCTACTGGACATCAGCCTGAGACAGACAGCTGGCAAGGCCAATCAGAGCGCAGAGGCCGAAGCCTGCCTGCCAGTCTCAACCCCTTTGAACAACTATAAAAAGTTAAAGAAGTTAAAAAAAAAAGACAATGAAAGAATAGCAGAAGAAGAACTTTTGAGAAGCCGGCGGGCCATGCTGGGCCCCATCCAGCGTGGCCCCGCCGGGCAATTTGATTGCATCCTGAGCAGAGCTGAACATGCTAGAACCCAACATAAAGAACTTTATGCCACAAGGTCTGCCTAACTCCTGTGTCCTGGACCAACAAGGTCAGGACTGAAGAAAGGCAGACTCCTGCATGCCCACACTGGGTGTGTGAAGATGACCGACATGGAGAGCCAAGCTCACCCGAGCCAAAGTTGCCATGTTGGCTCAAGAACGCCCAAAAGTGCCCAAAGGCTCCAAGAAGTTCGACCGAGGAGAAGAGAAGGACCAGCTGAGCAGGCTGCCCCGTGGGACAGCACCAAGAGTGGTTCACACCAAGGAGCAGCGCTGCTTTTTTCTCTTCCCCCTCCAGAGCGCCTTCTTTCTGGTCTGCTACAACTCAGGTGAAACAACATAATTTTCCTGTACTGGGGTTTGATGCGTAGTTTAATAAGTATGGTAGGGAGCATCAGATAAAACTAGGATTTCCCCTAAGATTTCAGATATTTCCCTTTTTGCTTCCCATGCCGCTCAGCTGTTGAATGGTGCTTTTCACAGGTCCATAAAGTTTCCTCTGATAATTATCTCACCATTGCTCACTGCTTCATCTGGTTCACTCTGGTCATTCATTCATTCATTCATTAGCATCGCTGTATTCATTTCATTCCACTCATAGTTGCATTTACTCATTGTCTTGTCTGTTGTTAGTTGTATTGCGCCTTGGTCTTCTGTGTCAGTAGTTTAGAATAAATGTTTGTCTAAAAAGTCATTGTCTTGGTTTTCTGTAGGATTACATTCAGTCACTTTACGGATGCAAAGATCCTGGCTATTTGAGCTCTACTTGAATTGATAATTAATAATTTCCCCAAAGTGCGTTAAACATTCTTGTCTGATCAACAAGAGGTGTGGTTTTATTAGTCTGACTATGAAATTATATCGCAGGACGAATAATTAAAGTGGTTATGTTTAATAATTCTTATTAACGTCACTTTTTCCTAATATTGAGCTAATCAAACCCTACAGTATTCATGGTGAAAAACGTAGGCTCCTGAATAAACTGTTTATAATCAAACAAATCTTACATATGTAATGGTGGAGAATGCAAACCCTAAATGAATCATATCAATCAAACTTTTCATACAAAATGGTGGAAAATGTCGGCGAGCATTTATTTAATAAATGCTGCCACAGAATAAATTATAAATTATGTAACAATCAATATTTCCTACAATGTTTTACTAAAAATAGTGATTTTTTTTCCCCCATTAATTGATTATTTGTGTTCATTTAGTAACAAAAAAGCACAAAATGTCCACCACAATCTGTCAGAGCCAAAGGATGCCCCCTCAAATGAACGTTTTGTTTTGTTTTGTCCGATATTCAGATAAAGATGACACAAAACAGACAAAAGAAGCAAAGTTTTACATTTTAGAAGTTGGACATAGTGAATTATTCTGCGTGATATGATTGACAACTAGTAGGTTATCAAAATAGCTGACAGTTTTCTCAATGAATTAATTATTAGCTAATCATTTCAGTTCTAATGTGCACAAACATAAAAATGTTTACCAATTACACAAAGCCAAAGAAAGTATAAATGTACAAAGCAGATATCATCTCCTGATATTTTGCTCATTACGTAAGTATTGACATTGGCGATTAACTCTTAACCAAAAATTGAAGCACAGAGATTACGATGATATGTTGAGGTCAAATGGTTTCGCCATTACTTGCCAATTCATTAAAAGCAAACAAAAAAACCCAAGATTATTAAATACTATTTTCAATACTATTCCATTTTCTTTACTTCATCTGCCAACTATATCACCCAGCAGAGGGAAGCGTACATCTACTGCTAGCTCATTTGGCACCACTGAGCTAGCTAACGTTACAGCTAAGCTGAGGAGGACACCATTAATGTTACATCTCACACTGTCATAAGCACAAGCCTCTTGTCCATGAGTAGATGCATGTTACCTTCTGCACTCTGATACACTTGGTAGGTGTATTTAAAAAGAAAAGAGTTCCTTCATAAAACTGCAAACAACAAGGTCTGTAGATTATCTTGAGTAACACGGTGTTAATATCTGGAAAGAGACATTGCTGTTGAGTTTTTCATATGCATTGTTTTGATGCTTTGAGCACCACAAGCCCAGTGCCATCTGGATCCATTATACTGGAGAGAAGGCAGACATCTCTACGATTGATATCTCCAACACTTGGCAACTCACACCAAAACAATCTAGACTGATAAATAGCACTACAGGTAAGAGGAAAAATAAGCATTTTTTATATGGGGGTGAACTGTCCCTTTAAACGACTTGGTAATTTCCACAATAAGGGAACAGCAATCCTCCACCCTCTCAGCCGTACAGCGGCAGGTTGGTGATTCCAGGAAATGCATCAACAGTCTGATTACTGTTACATCATATTCTGCCTGTTTATGACTGCGGCTCAGTGTCACAGTGGCTGCGGCGCTTCAGTCACCCACCATATCACTCACCATAAACAGTCTTTTTTTCAACCTGCCATCACTAACAGTTCCTCCTGATATACAAACAAATCCTCATGCACTGTAACAGAGATGCACAGAGTTATTTTGCCATCATAGTCTGGGGTGATTCTGCCACAGACGTACTGAGACATACTGAGAAAATATGGTGCTTTGTGCTTTCCAGAGGAAAAGGCTTT